GACTCCAGGATAGGAGTAATGTGAACACTTGCACTAGACCTGGCTGCTGAATTTTGGACATACTGCAGCTTCTTCAGAGTAGATTTAGATACCCCAGGGAGTAGAGCACTACCCAGGGAGTAGAGTAAATATAGATTCCTTAAGTACCCTAGCCATGCTATGTGTCTGGATTTTTAATATTTTTGCCATGCAGGTAACTGTATAGCACTTTGGGTACAGAGTGAAGGATTTATAAATACCCCTCCTGAATTTTTACACGGGCACCTGACACACTGGCATCTGTGGGGGTCATGTGTCGCCCGAAAGGTCCGGCAGCTGTAAACATTCTAAGGTTTCAGAGCGAGGCATCCTCCCAGAGAGGGACCAGAGAGGCTGGTGGCCGCAGCTCAAGGAGGTGGGGATTCCAGAAGAGCTCCGACTGCCACTGTTGGGCACCAGGGCTGGATTTGGAAGGACACACTCTAGGCCAGGATCCTCAAGGAGCAGCTCTGCTCTCGGGGGGCACCTGTCCCACAGCTTTTATAGGTTGTCGTTAAATCAGCAATTTCCAAAGACCTGGAACAACTTGACTGGGATCAGATGAACAGATAATTTTAGAAAAGAACTAAAGAACTTAACTTGATGATTGAAAATTAAAAAAAGGACTAAAGGAGCAAAGGCCAAAGTTCCCTTAATTAAACATATTTATTGCTTGATCAGTGCTCCTACCCAAAATCAGGTGATTTAGGATGACAGACTGGATTGAGGCTCTCTGGGGCCAAGCCTGGAGACTTCTGTTCCAGCATCTAAGGCAGCAGAAATCACAGAGTCAGCCTTTCTCTCAGAGCTGGCACTGCCTATTTCCCATAGTCTTAATAGGATATGATAGGATTTTACAGGCTCATCTTCAGCTGCTGGGGGGGTCCACATGGGGTAAATACTGCAAAGCAACTGAATGGGTAAGGAGAAAAGGTGGAAGCACTGCAACAGCACAGAGACCTTCTGTGTCAAAGGCTTTTTCCATCTTAACAGAACAACAATGCTTTCAAGACTCTCTGAGGGATTGTCAAAAGGTCTTAACTCCTGGCTAAAAATGACACACGTCCTTGAGTTAAAATTAAAGTATTCCTTACAATATGTTTGGGTCCCTTTTGCCATTATTTTTCTGTGCTTAAATAATGTCTCTCATTAAAAAAATTGTCAGTTGTAGGAAAACTGTTCATGGACTTTTCACTATTTAATCGTGACTGCAAGTTAAATAACTGAATAAATACAAGATTGACGTTGTTTCCTCTAAACCAGGCAAAGAGCTATTTGCTAAGAAAACACTCCTTTTATCATCTTTATAATATGATATAAAAAAAGGATTGAAATGGTGGCTGTGAAGATGTCACATCATCATAGGAAGAATCATATCAACATGCAGGAGACGTCAGTGACCTCCTGGACCAATGACCAGGTCCTGAGGTGCTCTCCAGTTTAGTCAATACAAATTCAAGAGGGGTTTAGTCCAGTACTGTTCCGTTTTTAAAATCATCAGGTGTTGGCCATGAGTAATTAGGAGCCAACAAAACTATAATAACTAAAGAGTACATTTCCTTGTTGGCAACCTCTATCCTGTATTAAAATGTTGTAAGTGGCAAAGAATGAATTTGTAAAACAGATCAGAGGTGTCTTCAAATACATTTCTAATGCAGATTTCCACAACACTTAACAAAGTGTACATGAGCACAATCGTAGTTGACCCAGAGTCCTTTCACAGAATCCCCTGAGAAGGAATGGACTTAAGATTATTGCATGTTACCTTCCAAAAAAGGTGCGCTGATGGTATGGTACAGTATATGTAGTTACAATTACATAATGCTCTTCTGTTCCCCAGTAAGGTACTAACTCACCAATGACAAGGACAGACTGCTTAGAAATCCCATGTGCTTAGAGCTTGAGAACCACTGACAGAAACAAAAGTACTAATTTCTATATTTATACAGGGTTTACTTGAAATGTTGCCATCTTAGGGTACTCAGTGGTGTATTATTTCACTAGATGTTTATTCGGAGGCCTGAGTGAAATGCAGCTGAAGTCAAGAATTTATATTTTGTTATGTCTTGTTTATCTGCTGGTAGATTTACCTTCTCCATAACAACAGTTGGGCTAAAACAGTGTTTGAAAAGTAGCCCATAACTCAGTACAAGAGGGCACACTCGAGGCAGACACAAGATAAGGAGCCCTTAACGGCTGGCTTTGGAGATTGAATGATTATTTGACCATCAAATAAATGGTGTTACTTCAAGGCCAAGAAACTGGAGCACGCTGGTTTGAGGCCAACGGAGTAGAATAAGTAGCCAGCAAAGATCTTATTTCTTCCCTGCAGTGTCTGTGATAACTTTAAGGAGCTCTGAAAACAAGGCAAGGTCTTCAGTTGTGGTATCAAGGAGTTGTGACTTCTCAATATGGACAGAGAGAAGCAATTCTTCTCATAAACAGCAGAGAGCTCAATACATACTCTGACAACCATGTCTAATCCTCACTTGCGTGTCCCCCAGGAATAAGGCTTCTATTAACGCTGCATCATTACTTATAAACTCAAAAACACAGCTTCTCTCTTTAAAGTCTGTTTTACAATCAGACTGTGAAGGATTTATTTATTTTTTCACTGAGTGGAGCCATCTGGAGGTTTCACAAATATGTGAAACTGTTGCGAAGAGTTTTATTGCCTAATATCTGAGTGACCTGGCTGGTTGGTCTTATTTACAGTATCTAGTATCAGTATTTTTTTAAAGTCTGAGACAGGGTCCTTGAGGGTCCTGTGTTGACACTGTGGCAGGATGATTTCCTCAGGAGGCCGTGAAAGTTTTCCTGAAGACAGAATTGTCTTTTATCAATCCGTGTGATTTACCCTCTCCCTGAATACATGCGTATGTTAAACAGAAAAATTAATATTTGAAGGGACCATAAGGACACATAAGGCTGAAAATTATGGGAGACCGTTTGCTCGAGCTACTAGGACACCCATAACTGATTGGTTTTCTGAAAAGACCTTCCAAGAAATGAGAAAATAAGTGGGTTTTTTTCAATGGTAGTTCTGTTCAGTACCTCTACAGGGGTCCTGGTTAGCTCAGGAGTTCCATGGATAAAGAACCTTTATTGGCATGTATTTAATTAACACATCAAGAGTTAACACAGATTCACATTTTTACATTTCACAAACACCTACAAATTTCTATCTGAAAGGCTGACAGTCCCTTATGTACTGTTACTGCTTTGTTTTTGCTTTCAGCAAAGCAAGACCTGCATGTTATACTGCTACAGGGAGTCAGGTAGGAGTGTAAACTTGCTGTATGGCCATCGAAACTATACAGCACAGATAATGATCAGTGGATTACAGATTTTCTTACGTTTATAAGCCCAAATGTAATAGACGAAAAACAAAGATAATGAATTGGAGTACAGGCTTTTAAAGATTGTATGTAAAAGAAATATACTGTACAGTGCAATTTTAGGAACTTATCATACCAATGCCAAATAAAACTGGAATGTCATAGAACACAAATACACATTAACATCTGCGTTGATCTTTAACATCTGCATCTGAAGCTCATATCAAGATTTTGACTTGTTGAAATATGACTGCAGAGATAGAATTAACAGCTTTGGTTACTAATCCAACTCTTGCGTACATTACCAATCTCAAAATATAACCTCTCTGTAGGTATAAGTTTACTACTGGAAACTTGAGAACTTGATGTAGGTAGTGATTTGGCGTGCGCATTAACTGAAAAGTAAGGCGGTCTGACTTCTCCTGTAACATCCAAGCCATAAGTTGCCAATTACAGAGTGCACCACAATACTTAAAATGTCCTCTTCAAACTTTTCACTGCCTTTTACAATGCTCAGAAAATAAGTCTCCTTACCTGTGCCAACATTATCCTGCTATTTGCCTATGGGATCACCAGCAGCAGAAACCACGTTTGATAGACATGGTTAATGACTGCTTTCTTACCCAGTTTGCTGGAGCGCCTAAAAGAAAAAAAATCTTATTAGAGGGTCTGATGGTATTTTACCAATTGTACTCAAGGAAAGAAGAGATGGTATTCACTAGCCTTTAACACCACTTTTCCAGTGGTCGCTCAAGACCAGGGTAATACCTAAGGGCTGGGAAAATGTCAAAGTATTGCCCATCCGCAAGAAGGGTGATGAAGCTGTCCTAAGTCATTACAGACTTGGGGCACAGCTAGTCTGACCTGACTCATCAATGAGTTTTTAACAGAAACCCACATGGAAAGATCCCAGTTAATAGTCAACAAGGGTTTAGAACTGAAGGGTCTCACCTGACCAGTTTATCAGAGTTGGTGTTTATTTTGTGTATTACATTAGTAAGGCCCTTTCAGAACATTGTGCACAGTTTTGGCCATCAGATGATGGAAAAAACATTACTGCTCTGGAATCAGGCCAAAGAAGAGCATTCTGGGTTTAAAGGAATGCCCTGCACTGACATGCTTAACTAATCTAGTCCAGACAGAGAAGACTACAAGTGGACTCAAAACAGCTATTCAAAATGCTCAAAGAAATTGCCGCAGCAATCTTCCTCAAAATGAACTGCCAAACATGATCCAGAGGACACAAGCAGGAACCACATGGAAGCATGTTTAAAACCAAGGACACGGGCACCTCTTAACATAATGGAACAGACAAGGAAAATAACCTGTAAGCATCCGAACATTTGGCTGTGCAAAAATCAGAGTTAATTCAGGTGAACAATATTATCTTAATGAGACACACATGGCCTTAATGGCCTCTGTTGGTGTGCAGTACAGTAGGTGTTCATGTGGTTTCAGAATAAATACCTCTTTTATTGCACGGTTCCTTAGTCGGGCACTGAATTTCAGGTAAATAAGCCACCATGAAGACCACGGAGGTTTCAAAACAACTCGGAGATATAGTTGTAGAAGAGTACAAACAGAAAAAAAACCCACTGAATTCTCTTTAAGCTTTAGCTGGAAGAAAATGTCCTATCAGTCAATAATATCCTGCCAAAGCCTGAGCTGGCTTGTATGGCCTGAGTGTAAAACACTTAAACTGCCCTCCTGGGGATGAATAACATACTGTATTATGAAGTATGGTGCTGTTAGCATTACGTTAATGTCCTGCTTCTCGTTAGCAGGCACTGGAGAGCTTGTGAGGACTGATGGGGACATAGATGGATTAAACGATCTCCATTGCAATATTCTTTTCTTTTCTGTCTTGGCCTTTCTAATAGCCTTCTACCTGCAGTGTTCTCTGATCTCTTCTATTTATTGTTTAATGTACTTTCCCTCTCCTCTCAGGAGCCTTCGAGTAATCCTAAAATCGACGATGAGCTCAAAGTACTAAATTGAATGGCAAACGGAGAGTACTAAAATCAATTATTAAAAAAGCAACTGAAAAGCAAAATGACAATAAAATTCTTTAGCAGCCATTACGTCTGTGCTCTATCTGAAATGTTTAACTCCACCCGCAAGCGAGCAGAAAATGGAATAAATAATGTATTAAAGAGCATTTAAGGCGCTGCTTCTGATACACTAAGAAAAAAAAGAAAAAAGCTCTAAAGGGGATCCCAAGAAGAAAGATTAGCACAGCAGGGAGGACTTAGGGGAGGAGAGTGAGATGGAATTCAGAAGTGTGTTGGGACAACATGAATGTGAGTGGTCAAAGGTAGGAAGGGATATTATAAATTGTCCTCGTACAACAGTCCGTACAAGATGGAGTTTATTGCAGCTGCTGTACATGTGCCCCTGAGGACTCAAGACATTATCTTTTCCTTCTTCATGGCCCTGTACAGCTTGATTTTCAAACTGGGGAGGTCGAAAATCAGCTCCAGGTCGAAGAGTCTCTGGAACTGGTCCACAAACTTGTTCTCCTTCTCAAGCCGGAAGCGCATAGCCCAGAAGATGACGGTGTCATGGCGGCACAGGTGATCGAAGGTGGCCAGCAGCTCTGGCAGGAAGGGGTGGCTGTACACCACGTCAGCCGCCATGATGTAGTCGTAGTGACAGGAGGAGCGAGGGAAGTTCTGCTCCAGGTCCTTGCCCCAGGACAGCTCTGTGACCCGTGGCGTGTGTCTGCACCTCCCCTTGGTGTTGCTGCTCACATTGTACTGCAGGTTTCCCAGGACCTCCGGCAGGTCTGTAGCAGTGACCTTCGCTCCTGCACCCACCCATGGGAGACAAACTCAGTGAGCAAGAAGAATTGCTCTCTGTGGATGAGCGATTAAAACTATGACACATTAGATTTCCTCCCAAGCCAAAAGACGCTAGCACATTTACACTTATTATTAGAGGTTATGGCAGTAGAAACACATCAAACATCTCTTTCAAACAGTGGGAACTGGAGTACTGGTTGTTACAGGACTGCTAGCATCCATTAACATCAGTATTTCCCTGGAATTTTAAAGATGAGCGCTCAGCGATATCTCACATAATAGTTTCAAATGATTGGCGCTTGCTTACCAAGTAAACTGGCGACTATTGAGACTAAGCCGGTTCCTGCACCGAGCTCAATCACATTTTTGTCCATTAGGTTGTATTTGTCTTGGTTTGCGTCCAGGAAATGACCAAGCACTAAAGCCTACAAGACAAAAGAAGGAAAATTCCTACATCTTGTTTAAATCAGATGATCTCTTACATGATGTGTTAGTATCCTGGAGCAGATAAGAGTTCCACTTACATCTCATCACTTACATTGTTATTTACACTGTCTTAGCAACACACCTTTCCAAAGAGCAACCACTGCTTTTGCAGTACTGCACTACCAATGTCCTGATACATAGCTATTCATAGAAAACAAGTTTTTCAGAGAGCTGCTCTGGTAAGGATCTATTGTACCTCCTGCTGCTAGATTTTGTTATTGAGGACCACGGGATCAAGGCTGTAGTGATGTGTGCATCAGTTTTGGCAGATGAGCAGAGGTAAAGGGCTGAAAATTTGGAGAATGGAAAGCCACTTCAGTCAGCAGCCTCATGAAAAAGAACAGCTGGAGAAACAGCCACCCCGGAGCGGCAAACACATACCGATGGCCAAGGAACGGCTCCGTAGCAGTCTGTCGATTCTTTGATTTTTATTTCATAGTTGGCAAAACGGTACCCCTCCCAGGGTACCGTGGTGATGACAGAGGGGCAGAAGCGTCGGCTCGTGATCACACTGACCAGGTCGGCGTCGTCAGGGCTCTCTGAAAACACAGCCGGGACACGGGGGGCTCAAACCAGCAGCTCGCAGTGCCCACGTTTCTTTCAATTCCTTTACTGATAGTGGGGAAACCATCTACTAAAATGCTGTCATGTAATCTGCGAGCAGGAATTTGCTTACAGTGGTTCAAAAACATCTGTGTAAAAGGTTAGTTTTACACATGACATATTTTTGCAGTACAACATTTGCACATTGAAAAAATAAGATTATAGGTATGCTTGTTTTACTGTGATGTATGAAAATCTGCACGTCTCTAAATTTCTGCTTAATTTCTATGGACACTTTTTACTTCATCTATCATGACCGACACACACATTTTCAAAGGGAACGAGTAATGATTGTGTCATCTGAAACAGTTTCCTTTTCTCTGCCTACCCTGGTGCAGTTTCAGCTCTGTAACCATGGGGTCTGTCCCCCAGTTTCTGTCCCTCCTTAAACCTGACAGCTGCTGAATCACTGCAAGACAGCCAGACTGGAAATTTACTGCTGCCGACTTTAAAACAATGAAATTTGGGAACTAAAAAAAGGCTGTAACGAAATCCAGTGCTTCAGATTACACTTCTCCTTTAATTACCACAGAGCTGAATAATAAAAAGAAGAAAAACGTCCGTAAGACTTTCATTTTTGGTTCTATAATAATGTAAAACCTATTTTTGTTTTAAAAACTGAAGTCTTGCAATACATTCACACAACATGCAAACACCACGTTACAGGGACAAAGGTCATAGAGAAAAATGTCGTGTAATAGGCAAATGGGTGTAAAACTACAAGACCTGTTCACCTTCCCTGTTCTCCGACTGTAAAACGCAGCACTCATCACTGTTCCATAGGGAAGAATCCCCCTCACGGGGCTGTGTCATCCTGGGCAGGAAGAAAGGAAAAAGAGGAACACAGGGCCACAACTCCCTTGAGGTTTCTACTGTTGTAAACCAATGACCAGATTCCCTAAAGATGGCACACTGCAAACAAGGCTCACTGAACATCGGCGGTTCTGAAATGCCCAATCCCTGCACCGCACAAACCTTAGTTGTTGTTCCTGTTCTTGGTTCTGGTGTTTTCGGGAGATTTTCAGCAGCTGGGTGGGTGGCGACTCGCTCATTTCAGGCCCTGTGACCAGGGAGCGCGGCTGTCCCTCTACACTGCACAGCTGCGGGAGACAGACGGCAGCAGCTGGACCCTGGCAGGACCAGGTCACCCCCACTAACCACTGCTATTAGCAGTTTGGGATTAGGACAGTACCGTTGGGAACGACAGCAGGATGAAGCAAGGGTGTAACATCCTAGCACTATTAATAAAAGTGGATTATTGGCTGCCTTACATACACATTTACTATTTTGATTAATGGAAACAAAAGAACTTAAAACTGGCTTTGTGGTTTCTTTGCTACGGTACCAGGCAGTTGTTCTCCACTGGATTGTATGACACATTGACATCATTTGTTAATTCACCACATGTGCCTTCTACATGGACACTGGAGTTGCAGGATTTCTGGCACTGTGTGAGTCATATGCCTTTTTACCTGTTATGGTTATGATCAGGAAGACGAAGACAAATATATTTAATAGTGAATTGCATTTTCAGAAAATCCACACCTGGTATTTGGTGGTTTTTTTTAACTCACCTGCTTTTTCATCATAGCAGACAAGGAGTTGAAGTTGAACTACCGATCAGGCTGGGTAGAATGAATAATTTAGCACTGCATTATATGTAAGAGTATACAAGGGGCAGAGGAAGAAATATCTGTGAACTTAGTTTAGTATCTGTTTTCTATTCAAGTCACTTTCTGTCAGGTAAAGGTAAAGGTGAGGGGGAAATATGACATAACTTTTTAGCTTTATGTTTCTTAAAATAAGACCAAAGACACTCTGATGAAGAATTGGGAGATTGATTGCTATAGATTGGATCCTATAGATTAAGAAGTTTAACAGTTGATGACTTAGCCTTGTTATTTAACTGATTATATGATTATATATTCACCGTTTTCAACATGCATCAGGAACAGTGCTCTAAACAGGAACACATTTCCAAAGAAATAACTTATGATCCAAATATTTTAGAATTAATCTCAAATTACTTGGGAGGGCTTCCAAGCAGTTATAAATAGTCCAAAAAGCGATTACCTCAGACCCTGATGAGTGTCAAAATATACACGAGCTGGGCAAGAGCGACACTGGATTTATGGGCACATACTAGAAAGAGCAGTGTAATCCCAGGGCTGGATTGAATTCTCTGAAAACTGGCCATGGGTTTTGTAGAACCAGCTGCTACAAGCAAATCAAATCTGTCATAAAGAGCTGAAAATACTTCTTTCTTCACACTTTTTCCCCCATAGTGTTTTATTGCTTGTGACAATATCTAGGCTTCCCTAAAAAATAAACGAATAAGCTAAAAACACACACAAGAAAAAACCCTGTGATCATGAATAATCTCAAAAGCTAAATACATAACACAATAGTCTACAGTACATGATTATATTTTTCCAAGTAAAATGCGATTTTCCCATTGACACAAATTATCGCAAGCACCACTCTTTTTTTCTTCTTGAGGTTCGGCATCACAAAGCCTGTCAGCTTTTGTTTTCAAGTGCGAATGTTTGCACCATTCATGGGCACGTCCCAGTCTTCTGAAGAGATGAGCTGAAATTCACTCATCTTACAGACGCGTGCAGGTCTGCTTCAGCTCCTGCCTCGCTTGACGTACTTAAGAAGCAGCTGTCTGCTGAAAACATATTGCAATTTCGAAGTTTATCACCGAAATTCCAAACAGCCAATTCACGTGAATGCATTAAATGTGGATTAAAAAAAAAATTATTTCCTTTAAGTAAAAAAATGTGCATCCCCGCCATCGAGTGTTCATAATAATTGTTAGTTCATATCTCACTGCATGAAATAATAATCCCTGCAGTGCAAAACGGTGGTTCAGAGCTTCTGTTTCTTTCTGCTGCGGGGCCCTTTCCTCTGGTGGAGAAACACGGACCGGGCCGTGACCAGCGAGGCCTGGCTGTCCTCCTCGCTCTCCTCGCTCGAGCTGCTGCTGCTGCGGACGGCTCTCGGGGGGCTGAGACAGGCCGTGGGGGCCCCAGGCTTGCCCCCCGCGCGCGCCTGCTCCCCCAGCCTCTCGGGGGGTGGGGACACTTCCACCCAGCCCAGGAACCCTCCTCCTCCTCCTCCTCCGACGGGCTCCTTCTGGTCTTCCGAGCCGCGCTGCGGTTCCGCGGGCCTGGCCCCCCCTGACCCGCCCTTCCCGTTCCCACCTGCGGCAGAGTGGCCGCCCCCCTCCGGGCCCCCGCCCTCGCCCTCGCCCTCACCCTCACCCTCGCCCTCCTCTTCCTCCCCCTGCTCCCGCTCCTTCCGCTTGAGGCACGTGACGGCGCGGCGCAGGCGCTGGCTCGCGATGGCCTGCCGCTCCTGCCGCTCCAGGCGGAAGAAGGAGTCAATGCGCAGCTGGGTCTGAAAGGAGAAACGCAAAGACGGCGCATGAACCGGGCACATTTCTCAGGGCGAGGCGACTTGACCCGCGATAAATCTTCATTGTCCGCCAGCGATACTCTGATCTACGTGTGGTGTTTTACAGCCGGCAACGTGGATAGCACTCCGGTTCGGGCAATTCAAGATGTAACAAGGAAAAAAAAATGATTTCTTCCATTTGGATCTTCAGTAATTCAATAAGAACAGGAAATACAGTATGATAACTGATAATAGTACAATTAAAGTTCCCCTGACTTTTAGGAATACTGTAAAGCAAACTTGCTCACCATGTCAGAGAATGTTACTTAATTTACAGTAAATGCAAGCAAGTATGTGCAGTATGAGGCTGCATTAGGACTTCATATCTAAATGCATCACTCAATTATACTATTGGCCCTTCAAGGGCTTAACTAGGAGAATAAACTCAACCTGCTCCAACAGAATACAAAAAGCAATTAACACAAGAAAGTTAATAAATGAGAGGAAGCTTTTTATCCCATCCGGCCCATTTGGTAGATAGTAGCTAATTAATCCAAGAAATGCCATCCAATCACATCTTGAATGAAATCATAGTATCAGCTTCAACCATATGGCAGGGTAGTGTGTTCCATACTTCTACAACCCCTTGGCTGAGGTAGCTCCTCATGTTCTCTTTTCTTAAAGCACTTCCACTGCACTGCAATGAACAGTGCTTTGGTTTAGTATTTAGGGACCTGTATTTCAAAACCTTTACAGAAGCCAAATGAAAGTTAATTGTGAACAGTGAAGCATCTCTCAGGAAAGCTCTAGTAAGCCTAAATATCAGCTTCAAGGTCATACAGGGACTACACAGAGATGGTTTCCCATAAATGGATCGGATTATTGCCCGATATTTTGTGCTTGTCGAAAAGGTCAGGAAATGCTTGACCGTTGCTGCAAATTACTAGATGAGTCAGAGTGGAAAACAAAGATTCCAAAAGAATGGATCTGGTTTCATGTGGCTTACGCTGCCTCTAATCCACGCCATGTAAATGCATCATAAAACACCAAGTCAGTCTTCACCAAAGAATGATCTGCATCATACTTAGACTAGAGAAAACATGAAACCTTTAAGGACAAGCAATGACTTGGGGGAAGAAAGTGCATGCTGAACATTGTCTTTAAATCGGAGTGAACTTTAAGGCCATTGCAAAGCACACTTAATAAAATCTGGCTGGCTCAACAACCTTCGTTGTCATAGAAAAATAAAGACGGCAATGTCTTCTAAATCCGTGTCCGAGACAGTGGACTCTTCAATATGGGACCTTTTATTTAATGTGAGTGATAGTTTTATACGGTAGAATAACTTACTGTCCTTCTTAAAGCACCCTATACTGTATAATACAAATTACTCCTTTCATTTTCTTAAACAGCAATTCCTTGCATTTATGTAGAGCTTCTTATACTATACTGCTTTCTATACAGTCTGAGACATGCTTCAGCACTGAAGCTGCAGCTGCAGCACATACTTGCTGTATGTGACACTCAGTAGCTTTTATGTACCAGCAGCCCCACAGCAGTGGAGAAAAGTATCTGCGTCACCAGCTGAACTACAGATGAGTTTTAGGTAGGCCTTATTGTGTAAACCCAGGACGGAATTTATCCAGGCCACTAAGTTAAACCCCTTCACTTGTATGAATAGTGCCCTGGGATCTTTAAGGCCAAACACTCGGGATATCAGTTTACCACTGAATCAGGTTAGGAGCTCTGGTGAAATGTCACAGTACCTGCTGGGCATTAAGCTGCTTCATGACCGGCATTAGGGTTTCATCTGTTTTCCCCCCATTCCAGCCAAAGCGACTTCTGCAGAATGTTAGCAACATTAAGGAGGATAAAGATATTTACAATCAGCCTTCCTGGCTTCCTAGGCAACAAAAGAGAATCTTTTAATTTCTACCAGGTTTGTGGAACTAGAAAAAGGCTCAACAATCAGTGACAGTGTTAGATATTTTAAACTGCATGCGTTTTGTCTTTTGAAAAACATCACTACTAGGGTATTCACATTTATGTACATGTATGCATAATTTTGCCGTTTCAATCTCCAGCTATTCCCAAGCTTTGCAAGTGAAGGAATAGGAGAATCTGAAAAGCAGAAGCCCAGGCAACCTTAAAATAGGATCAACAAACGTATCTCTATATCTGTCTATTTACGATGTCCTATTGCCTTGCTTTGCTTTTGTTCCTCTAATCAAATGGGCAGGAATGAGCCGTTAGGAGAAACGCACAAACTGCTGACAAGAGAGATATTAAAGGATATTCTTTAATCTGCTCCAGGTCAGGACGCCCCCAGGAGAATGCGGCTCGGGAGTCGTCCACCACAGGTTTGAGGTAGGCTTGGGACACAGCAGGGTTTGGGAAGCCCATGTGCAGCTGAAGGTTTCTCAGCTTCTTCTTCACCTTGGTGTCGTTTGGATTTGGCCTCAGCTTCTTATTCTTCTGAGCTTCAGTCCACCATTCGCTAACCAACCATGCAACACACACCATCAGTAGGTAAAGTGGGTGAACCCTAATTATGACACTAGAACATGGACGCACAGGCGAATTTCTCAAGGATTTTGCCTGTGCAAGATTTTTTATTTATTTATTATTATTTATGGACGGACAGTTTTTAAGCTCTCTTTGTGTCTCTTTTCTAAAGTCATACACCTGAATAAAAAGTCAAAGCTTACTACAGATTAAAGAGAGGCTCCAGCCCTGGTCCAGGGAATTCATTGAGGATCTCCATGCCTGTGACATAGCCCACTCCTGGGATGCCCTCTGTGTAGTCACTGCCCAACAGATAGGCCAGGTTAATCAACTTGCTCCGGTCCAGACCTGCACGGCAGAATGGGCTTTAAGGAGGTCACAGAAAAAGCTTTTCTTGTTAAATGCAGCATGAAAGTGAAGTTTATGCGAGTATATTTAATGTTTGTAGTCAAAGCACAATGTCCATGCAGCCATTCAATCATTTTCAGAAAGCCCTTCATCCTTGGAGATGGGGGTGAGCTGGAGTCTAATCCAGCTGGTGAAGGTTGAAGGGCTACATCTTGGATACCCATCACTGGGCGCACACACACATATGGGGAGATTTAAAACAGTTAGAGATGCCAGTTAACCTAGACAGCAAGTCTTCAGACTGTGGGAGGAAACAGGAGCAGCCAGAGAAAACTCACGTGAAGCCAGGAAGAACATGCAAACACCCATAAAAGCATGTGCCCAGTCCAGCACATAACCCAGGACCCAAGAGTTGTAAGGAAGTGGCACTAACCACCAAGCCTCCTTATAACGTGTAATGATTTTATACATAAATGAGAATTTATGGAGGCTATTGTTGGTCCATCTCTTCATTTAAAGACATTTTTTGGAAATAAACATACAGATATAAATTTGATTTATGTTCTTCAAATGACATGAAATTAAGGATTAAACTATATAGGACCAAGGGGGCTCACACCCCCAGCATTAGAAGCACTTACCTGCTGCTTTATTAGCAGCAATTTCCCATTGGCCTTTACCAATCATGGCATCCTAATAATTCCCATTACTCTGTTCTCCCTCCCACTGATAACGGGGATGGCAAACTGGGTGGCCAATCCACTCCCACCACATACCGAGTTGATTTTGGAGATCGACGTATTGGTAGTACTCCACGTATTTGTTGTGGCTGAAGAAGTTTTTATAGACATGTCTCGCCCCAAAGAGCCACACGTCGCTGTCATCAGTTATGGTCCCGTGGGTCTGGTCTGAGAGGTCCAGCAGGGCGCACTGGGCCTCAGCCTCCATGGGGGCCACGATAAAAGGAATACCAAACAGACGCAGCAGCTCCTGAGGATGAGAGACACAGTCACGGAACTGAGAGCAGCGGGATGCTGGTTCACTGGGCTCTCTTTCCAATTGTTCCTAAATGCTCATGTGGGCCTCACCTAGATACAGTGCTTCACAAGTCCCGAGCACACTGAAACTCACAACGTACAGTCTTTATTGTAGCAAACGCGCCTCCAGAAGAGATTTCCTCTTCAAAAACCCCAAAACTCAACTACCACCTTGAAGGGCTTTACACTCCAAACCCACTAATCTTACCCCTGCAAGAATGAGTCTACTAACCTTTCACCACTTATCCAGTTCATTCAGTAATTAATACCCACTGTGGCTATTTACAGGAATTAGAAGCCTATGGAGACCTCTAGTGGCAGGTCAGCAGTAATAGCAGCCTATTGTAAACCCGTCCTAACCCATTTACAAAAAATGGTGAGTCGCGGATTAAACACCTTACTTGATCTCGCCCGAGGAAGCAGTAAGTATTACTCTCAAAACCAAAAATGAGAAGCATCTGCACTGCTCACACTCACCTTCATTTTCAGCCTGTGGTCCTCAAAAACTCTTATGGCACTCCTTCACTGTCGAAAATACTGCTGCTTGACAATCAAACCTTCAGAGCATGCCATTAGACTACCAGGAGTTAGAGGCCAGTCATCTGGGGAAATCCTGCGCTCTGACCTCTGCTGTTGCTACAACGCTGCTGTGAGTGTTTGTGGATGCCAATGAACAGAAGTTCAGAGAGCACGGATAGCTTGCCAGTCCGTGGATGGGAAGGCTTGCATAGTCCTCACCTCTCCCAAGAGGGCACAGGGGACTGCAGCAGCACTGGGACAATATTTTCTTTTATCCAAATTGGAGAGTACAAGAAGGAAAAACAACTGACTATTCTAAAAATAGTCTAAAAAAAACCTACAGTGAATACGCATGCAGTACATCTCTAGAAAAGTCATTTTAAATTCCATACATTTAGAAATAAGAAAAAGAATTCCTTGCATTTGTACAGTTCTTTTCATCCCAAAGGATCCCAACGCACTTTACACAGAGAGGGACCCACTTCCTCCACTGCTATACAACAGCACCACCCACAACGCAACACAACTGGTGAGGAAATGATAGGAATACCACTGAAAGTTTGGGATTTGAAGCATACTGTAGCGAAAAGAAATCTAAAAGACGGTCATGAGATAAATTCAAAAGTTTAACAGAAAGTATTCAGGTCAATGTGAATGCTGAATGCTGCATCAATCCATTATACTGTCTAGAGAGAGGAACAACAACAAACACTATCTCAAAAAATGTAGGACACTTTTAAATATGCAATAGAAACAAAAATCATCCAACAGCGTTCTGCAGTTTGAAGAGAGAAAAGCCCCAAAGGTGATATGATACCTCTATAAACAACTCCAGCATAACACCATAACGAGGCATGTCACATTTGAAGCGACTGTCTGAACATGTCACCTTAAATCTTCACTGCCAGTCAGGCCAACTTGCCATTCCAGCAGATTAAGAGATCAAAGACAGAAAAGCAGGCCTGAGCCCACCTTTCAACAGCTCCCTCCACCCCAAACAATACAAGACACAATGAGTCATCAATAACGGGCAAGCAAGGCTGCAGTATCATGTGAAACCGTTCCAAAAATATTTCACCAGGTTTAATTGGTAGGAACTTTAATACCACTTCTAAGGTAGTAAAAGTCTATAAAAGGATTCCCATGTAGAATATGAATGTTTTTTATTGCCACTTAGCAAAACCCCTGAGAATGTCTGTGAGCTGTCAGTCGTGTCATTCAGGTGGAAGATTTCAAACAGACAAAGTGACTTGCAATTTATTGATACACCACAAGAGCACATTTCACCACACAGCGTGCACTAATTGTAGTGAAAATGCAGCCAGCTTCTTTAGTTACGCTTAGAGAAATTATTAAATAATTTAACTTCTACCTACATTTTCCTTCAGAAAACCATTTCTGAAGATCTTGCAGCTTTTTTTTTTTTTTGATTGTGCTGAACCAGCAAAGGGACGATGTAAAATAACACCAACAAAACTGCTTATCTTTAACCTATTTTCATAATTTGGATGTCCACCAAAAGAGCACTGAATGCTTTAAAAACTCAACAAAGGTAGTAACCCAGTACGAGGAGGATTGAAATCATGTGTATTATTTCTTTGCTCTTTCCAGAAATTTGAATTGGAATATACTGACTCATAGGGTGCCACTGGAAATAATTCTGTCAGAAGGACAGTCTTATTTATGATCCAGGTGTTGCCTGGTACGAAGCACCTGGGACGAGGGGCATGACTGAGTCTGATCTCTGCCACCAAGGCCCTGGTCCATACTCAGACTAGCAGACAGCACAGAGAAGAACTGTCTGGTGATGTGTCCCTGGGACAGCTATGCTCTATTGGGTTAGTGTCTGATGATAAAGAAGCACCAGATGACTTTGTCCATTGTCCAGGGAGTATATATTCAAAAAGGTTTTGCATGACAATCTTTCAAATGTTGCCAGGAAACTTTTGCCTACATAGCAATGTAACACTCGTTTCTCATTCAATTCTGTACACATTTTCTACAGAAGGATCCCGGGCTCCTTTAAATATCATCCCATCACTGAAGTGCACCATGCACTTGATTAGGTGGAGAAGTGAGACACAATTTCAATGATTACACCAGAGGGAGAAATTGTTGTTAGGCCAGATTAAGAAATGCTAGACTTGCAATTTAGTTGTAAACCAGGGATGGTCCTGGCTTCGATAGCCACAAGTCGTCAGCAGTTCATTTTAATGTTTCTCCTGAAGAAAAACACCTTGCTATAATACTGAACTAGAGTATTGCTGCAAAATGTATGATTTAGACAAAAGGCTGTCACCTGCTATTTCTCCTCACCATGAGAAAACCATTATTCCTTTAGATGTCACATTCAAGTATAGAGCAGTCCCAGTTCAATGAGGCTAAGCAATGGTGTTTTGGGGGACAGGAAACACTCTCACCTGGCTTTCCAGGTACATCTGCCCGGTGACAGTGGCAGCGATGCGCTCTTGCTGCTGTTTCTGAGCCTGCAAACTGCTTTGCTGGGTTGACAGGCTGCTCTCCAGCATCTCCAGCTCCTCCTGAGCAAACACAAGTAAAACCCAACATGATACTTCATTCTTCAGATCATTCTTGCAGGGTACAGTATCAATTCTGAGGTCAAAAGTAACAGTTCATATATTTCTTCAACTTTTTATAATTTGAACAAGAAGACCATGTACAATCAACGAACTGACTTCTACAGTACCCCTTATAATCAACAACTCCCACAAACCCTCAGCTGCATGTCTGAATATGTGTCCTCTCGGTGAAATGTATTAAGATTGTGAAGACAGCTGGTTTGTCATGGCCTACAGGCACAATGAATAATGTCAACTACTGCAGGTTCTTTGCTTTGAGTTATGCGTGTCTGTATCTACGATGTCTCTGCTTTTTTTATATGTCATCGGATTGAGGGACCTGTAATCTATATTAAATTTCATAACCCCTTCCCCAGTAGGACTGGAAGCTGTTCTGATCCCGATAGGTGTGGGAATTCTGGGATTAGATTAGTTATTTTAGGGACGAGTACTGGTCTGATCCCGGGAGCATTTCTTGCAGTGCAGCAGACTGTGCATTGTCTCCGCCTCTGCTCCCGCTGTTGGCAGCCTGTCCTCTCAAGCTTGCCAGCTTCCATGGCCAGCCTGTGGCTCTGAGCGTGTACTTCAGCAGGGTCTGCTTGTGTTTTTGTTTCTCGCCCTGGTTAGATACGCAGCCAGTTTATTGTGTATTGTGCTTTAAGGACATGATCGCTCTTTTCTGGCTCTTGGTTAGGGACTTGGCTTAGCAGGACTTTGTGGTGGTAGGAATTCTGGTCACTGCATTTTAGGTATAGACAATAATTTTATTGCTCTCTGTTACATATTACTTAGCAGTGAGTATCAACTTAATTCTGCCCTGCACACACTACTTGGGACATATGAAGAATGTTTTTACAGAACTCACTGAGATTTCTATGTGATGTCTCATTTTGTGTAATCCTGATCTGTGATTGGACACTTCACTGCCAAAAAGGGCAATATTCAGAGGCACATATTTGTGGTGGGGTTGGTATTACATTGTCTCCTTATTATGGAGTAGAAAGACCTAGATATATTCTCGTTCAATGCCCACAATTACTTGATCTTTCAATTTTCAGACCAAGGTATGTGTAGCTGGTTATATGATCCTATGTGTCATTATTCAGTATGAAGGGGTAAGGTATTAGTTTTCCTCAGATATGTCTTTGTCTTGGAAAACCATAACTATGGTCTTGTCCTGACATACTGTCAGTGCCCAAGTGTTACTTTACTCCTGACCTACAATACTAGTATTACATCCTGCAGTCCCAAAGCAAGGCTGCAAAACAGTAATGGGTGCATTGTTGCTTTAAAAAAACAAATATGCCACAAAGCATATTAAAAACTTCTCATAATTAAGGTTTCAGGAAAAGAAATCGACAACTGAACACCTGTCTGAGGATCCTATCTATATGGACAGAACAGGCAAACTATTTATTTGGTTAAGTCTGTCTCCCCCTGCTGGCAACAACAGCAAAACAGCACATTACCAGACTTATGTCTTCCCACTCGTTAACAGTAGCTCCGTCCTCATCGTCAGACCGCCTTTCAGCTCTGTGCTGTACTTCCATCTCGATCTCATCAGCACAGTCCTGCTTAGAAGCAGAGGGGTCACCAGGCACGTCATGGGGCTCCTCCACCACTCGGACAGATCCCTCCGAGGCACCCTCAACGTCTGCCTTCCCAGCGAGGAAAGAGCCCGACTCTTCTTCCTCCTCTTCCTCAGATACCTCAATAAAACTCCCTATTTTCATTGCACAGGTAAACATGGAACGAGAGAAAAATGTCAGCACCCTTACCTTCTCGTAGTTATCACAAGTGCGACACAAAAAGGACCAAAAACAGAAGCCCAGAAATAAAGCCTCTCGTTACCTTCTAAATCGCTCTCTTCACTTGTTCGTTCCGGTCCTTCGTTTTCAAGGCCGCCCGCGCCTGGACCCCGAGGATTTCCGGGAAGAGTGTCGTCAAGTGGAGGAACAGAGATAACTGGCGACGCTGCCACCTTTAACAACTCCCCCCAGCCAGTCTGATCTGTTTTCTGTGAAAGACCGGGCACTGCTGATTCGTGACCCGAAGGTTCTTCCCTCACATCAAGACTGGAGGTCTGGGGAGGCTCCCCGTCTAGAAGAGTGTCTGCTCGTGTGTCCCCTTTTCCATCCGTTTCCTGTGCGACCCCGGTCTCAAAGGGTACGCTTTCCGTGGCAGGTGTGGTTTGCGTCGCTAGGAAGGAGCGGAAAGCTTTATTCCTCTCCCCTATGGCCTCCACCATTTCTTCATCAGAGCTGCTGACGTCAATCACTTCTCTGACATCTTGGCGTGAGTTTCCAGAGGGTCCACTGACCCGGTTCTCTTTATCTTTGTCTTCGGTAAGTGCGCTCTGAATGGCCTGCATGGTCCGAGGCGACAGTCCTCCAGCACCACTTCCAACGGCCTGTCCTGCCCTGCTTCCTGTGGCCTGAACCTCGTCCTCCGAGCTGCTGTCCAACAGCGCTGCCTGAATGGCCTGAAGAGTTCTGGGGGACGGAGGTGCAGGGGCTTCTGCCTGTGGCACCGGGGGGTGTCTGAGGGCGGAGTGGGGCTCCGCCTCCAGATTCTCCTCAGAACCCGGACGCCACAGGACCTGCTCAGCTCCGCCACCTCGAGCCTTGGATGTGCCCGCTGAGGGTAACGCCGCAGCTTTGTCTTCTGAAACGTCCTCACGTTTCTTTGACCCTGCAAGAGCCATTAGAAGGTAAAACACATTTTTAGTCACACCCTTTCAATGTCAATTTTGGATCCATCATGGTATAGTTCAGGGCCGAAGCAACTCTCATCATGCAAGACATTAATGGTGAACACATTTTTTACCCCCCCCCCCCCCACTAGGGGTAACATAGGACATCTATGTCCTATGTCCACTCAAAACAAACGGAATACAGTACAAAAATATTGCCCCTACTTCACCTCCATACATTCCAATCAAGTACCCACAAAACAAACTCAGGTGCAAGAGAAGGCCTTGACTGCACCAGTGGCAGCACCCCTCGGCTTCACTGTACCCCCATAGGGACCATGGATACGAGCAGTGGGGAACTCCGTCAAGATGACATGAAAAACGTGGGGCTTGCTGCAGCCTCCAGAAGAGCAAACCTCATATGTCCTATATGCGGTCTCAATAAATAAGTCCTGTTTATGCTTCATTAGGCAACCGTTGCTCAGAACTCGTTGCTTCCCCTCATAGCCATCTTCAAGCTTAATTACCCTGCTGTCAGCTTTGTTGACATTCGGGATAGTCTTTACGAGCACATTACACGAATCCAGATCAGAAACTAACTGCCTGAAAAATTATCATTCATTCATTTATCATTCACGTTCTCAGACAGTGGAGCAGTGCTGGTGATCCTGGCCAGTGCCTCCTTTTTCACCAGCTGGGTGCGCTCACCCACTGACAAGTATTGCAACGGCAGCTACCTTACAGAAATCTGGAAAATCGTTTTTCTTCTTTGTTGAAGAAGAAGAAGGGGGAGAAGATCAACTTCTGTTTCTGCTCAATATCGAATAAAAGTGACTTCTGGGGCCAAAAAAATCAAGAAAGCGCACCCAGTAACAGGAGCTCCATTCTTCCGTTACCATGCTGCTGTACCACTCATGTGATCTGACATTTCTCATAAGTATGAGTTTAAAGTTGACTTTGGTGCTAATGCTGCCGTTGTGTTTTTTTTGTTTACTTATACTCAGTTCAGCTCAGGAGAATTATCTTTTCACCCCTCAGGTCAGCTGCACATTTGAATTTATGTCACATATCGAGCACATATTTTCCCACAGGGATCCGCCTTTCCCGAGCTGTGCTACGCGTGTTGGCGGCCGAGCAGGAGCCCTGGTGAGTGGACCTTTGATGAGGATGTAGTGGGAGGTGTCCTCCGACACCAGTCGCCGTGTCTCCACGTCCCGGTCCCCGCCTGCCTCCGCGCTGCTCTCTATGGAAATCACTCCTGAGCTCTGATGGTTCAACTCCTTCTCCACCTTCTCGATACGGTGGTTGAGGCTGTTCCTCTTCAGCAGCCCAGCCAGTTGGTACTTGGAGAAATCTGTGGATTCCTGGGGAGACAAAATTAACATTTTGACAGGTCACGGGGACTCCCCTCCACCACCACCAGTGTGCAACCTCACCTGGATGAAGTGACGGCAGCCACAGTGCGCCAGCACTCTCACCACACACCAGCTCTCAGTGGGGAGGAGAGCAAGAATGATGAAGCCAGTTCTTAGATGGGGATTATGAGGAGGCCATGATTGGTAAAGGCCAATGAGAAATTTGGTCAGGACACCCAGGTTAACATCCATACTCTTTTCAAGAAATGCCCTGGATTTTGTAATGACCACAGAGTTAGGACCTCGATCCCATTGTCTCATTTGAAGGACGGTGCCTTTTTTACAGTATATTGTCCCTGTCACTATACCAGGGCATTAGGACCCGCACAGACCACAGGGTGAGCACCTCCTAGTGGTCCCACTAGCATTTCTTCTAGTACCAACCTTGGCTTTCCCAGGAGGTCTCCCATCCAGGTACTGTACTGGCCAGGCTCACATAAGCTTAACTTCATTTAAAAATAAATTCAAAACCAATCAATCCCTGTAAGATTCCTTTTAACACGTACTTCTAACGGGTAATAGCACAAGTCAATGATCCTGTATATGTGTTTTTAAAAAAGCAATGTTATCTCGTTATGCATCAAGTAAAAATTTAATTGATTTACTTGGAAAAGTGAGGGAAACTGCCTTACCAGTTGCATGAAGGGGGAACTTTAGCACAAGCCCAGTGTCAAATTCAGCCAAGTTAGCACCTCTACTTTTTCAAAACCTGCCATGGGTTATTTAATGACCTTACTAAAGTATAGGCAGGAGATTGGTTGAATATCACATCCAAAGGAGGGTACCTTTTATACACCACAGAGTCCTCTGGTCACCATTCTCAGTTAATCCTTTAAACATTTAACCTACTACAACAGTAATTTTCTCTCACCTATACACACCTGAAGAAGGCTCCACAGCCTAAACGCTGAGTATTTTATATTCTACTTTTCAGCACAGAATTAGCAACTATATATTCGTTCTTAGAACAACAGAGGACACCAGTTTTTACTTTGTACCTCAGGAGGTGTTTCAAACAATGTTCGTCTCCGCTTGCTGGACTCCTTCATATCCTTTAAGATCTCGTGTTTTATTTCTGCAGGTAAGAGAGCAAATTCTTCAGAATCTATGTCCATGGAGTTGGGATTCTCAAATATTTCTTCCTGTTGAAAGAGAGGGAAACATTACTATTTTGTACATTTATTACGCAGTATTTTAACATTTCCCTCTTTGGATTTTCAGGCAAAGCAGGTTAATTTTTTTGAGGACATCTCTGTAGCATATTCTTTAACTACCAAAGAAAGGGATTGTATTCACGCAAAGATTGATCGAGAAGATTCAGGTGTGCGTTGGTCTTTCTGCATATCCTGAGAAATAAAAACATTCTACAAGAACTACAAGGAAATGTCTTGCCCATTGCAAGCAATTATTCTGCAATACATGGGTACCCATACAGGGGTAAATCAGTCAGTAGGCTAAAGAACATTTTTTCCAGTTATCCAACAAATACAGTTAACCTGTACAGTTGGAAATTTCTATTTCTGCTGCACAACGCTTCTATGGATACCTTTAATACAATACTGATTTATCCCTGTGTCTGTCTTTCATCTCCAGCTCGCTGTCACAACTGAAGGTCCCGTCTCAAAAAGCTTCCATCACACTCTATGTGCTGCTCTGAGAAAGACCAAGACTCTCGGAGGCAAAAGACATTATTTAACTCCATGATGACACACGCCAACATGTGACAAGGAAAGAAGGTGCAGTGATACCGAGGAACGTTTTTTGAATTGTTACGATTTATGGTACGTACATTCAGATTTTCAAAAGTGTTTTGCTAAGGTTCCTCAAAAAAAAAAAGATTCGTTCGAAAATTGCAGGCAGGAGGTATCCAAGGAAATGCATGTACTGGGATTAAGAACTGACTCATGAAGAGGATCACTGAGGGTGTATGATGTTTTCATGCAGCTCAATATAAAGGAGCAAACAATGATCTTGAAGAAGAATAAGGCTTAGCTGTTAATACTAATACATCACTTACAGCTTCTAGACAGCACATGGTAGTAATAAAAAGACAAGTAACTTTACTTAAGTGACAAATTTAAACAAAGGGATGCTATGCTGGAATTCTACAATGCACAAGTAAGCCCTCCTTTAGAACACTGTGTACAATTTTTGTATTTTTTTTGTACATAATATGAAATAGATATTGGTGCTCTTGGATCAGTCTAAAAAGTGTTACCAGTTACATTTTGGTGCACAGCAGAATGCCCCGCTCTGAGAAGCTGTCCTTAAACTAAAAAGTGCTGAGCAGAGAGTCAGAGGACCTGATTTAAAATGTCAAAATTCTCAAGGGCACCGATGATGTTAACTTAGTGAACTTCTTTAGGATCAACGGGGAAACACAGACCAGAGGGCACAAGAGGAAGTACAGTACAACTGGGAATAGGGAGCCCATTTCTAACAGCTGGGGTTGTGGGAGACTGGAGCAAACTAAGCAGTCACGCTGGTGAAGCTGATACCCTGGCGTCTTCCCAGAAACAGCTGGATGGGATCCTAAAACCAGTGAGCTAGGTGGCCTCCTGTTGTTTGTAAACATTCGTATGTGGTGACATCATGGGCCGAGCAGCAGCACAGGAATAACTCAGGGAGCAGATGACAATGTTTTAATAATAGGGCACTGATAACCATACGAGGCAGCAGAAGAGTGTGGACTGAGCAAGGGGGGTTGCTCACTTGCTCTCATATAACGGAGTAGAAATAAAAACACTTTGACACCGTTAAAAGCCCCGTTTTCTTGTGTATACCGACAAAGGCGTACCTGAAACATTCGCCTGTTGTTTGCAGTCTCCTCCCACTCTTTTTCAGCTTCTTCTTCTGAGCTGTGTGAACAGTGGCAGGTCGCTTTAGAGACGGCAAGCTTTGCTTTTACAATAATTACCCAGCTTGGGTCCCACTCTTCTCAGGGGAGGCTGACATTGTTTAAATGTTGGTACTCAGCTTGAAGATGATGGGAAAAGTGGAAAAAAAAGGATATCTTGCCCCAATCGAGCAATCTTTCGAGAGCTAGTTCTCTGTACACTTTTGAAGAAGCCAAACACGTTTCTGTAACAGAACACTTATTAGCAAGGGTCTGCCATCTAGAGGTGCATCACAATTAACACAATGCAGCCCTGCAAGTAATTTGCTGAAAGGGTAACCTGCCGTTGCATGCAGCCGTTTTCTATGATGAAGCAAAAGAAAACCGTTACCTAAGCTTTTGGAGCATGTTCAATATTTAAACTTTACCTGAAAAAAAAACACACGAAAACAGTATAAAAGACAGGCTAAATAAGTTGTAAATAAAAAAAAGGTCTTGAGAGTTTAACTCTGCTGATTTAAGTACATCTCACCTATTTTTCTCCTTCTCTTCCAGCGCAGGTAAAACATAGATATCGTCCACTTCCTCGCGCCGGACACTGGAAATGCTGGGCAAGGGCTCCTTACTATGACAAGCAATAAAACAACACAAGGTAGACGCAGGGATATATTACCAGCTGTTACCATCTTGTTACCAGCAATGTGTGGGTTAGATCCAACCAGAAGATTCACCTCCTGTCTCCGAGCGCAGCTTTTATGGCCTGTCTTTTGAGGAAAGTTCTTAAGAGTTTCTCTGAGGTCTGCTTCGATTCCTTAGTCACTTCTTCCTTCCTTTGTCTTCTGATGGCCTACAGAAAGAGACAGATGACATCCCCTCACCATCTGGCCTCTCTGATTCACAGCTTTATAGTAAGAAAGACTTGAAACTATTCCACTGTCTTTTGTGGATTGGGACTGCCAGATCATTTGTATGGCTTTCTGGTTCCTTCCCAGATATTTTTGAAGTTCAGTTAAAAAAATAATTTTCTATGATGAGCATTTCACTCTGAACATCCCCCATATACAGCTGCTGTCAATAAATAATTAATATTTCCTAACACTTATAGGGTGCTTTTCTGGACACTCCACTCAATGGGCAGCACTCACTTGAATGATAAGACGACAGTCAAAGGGCACCAGTGCACTCACCACACATCAGCTATCAGTGGAGAGTAGAGCAGAGTGATGAAGCCTGTTCATAGATGGGGATTAATAGGAGCCCATGATTAGTAAAAGCCAGAGGGAATTTTTGCCAGGACTCTGGGGTTAACACCTCTATTAATTTTGAGAAACACCCTGGGACTTTTAATGACCACAGGGAATCAGAACCTCAGTTTTACATCTCATCCGAAGAATAGCACTCTTTTTGTTTTACAGTACAGTGTCCCCGTCACTATACTGGGGCATTAGGACCACAGGGTGAGCACACCCTACTGGTTCCACTAACGCCTCTTCCAGCAGCAGCCTTAGTTTTTCCCCAGGAGTCTCCCATCCAGGTACTGGCCAGGCTCACACCTGCTGAGCTGCAGTGGGGCTGGCAGCTGGGAGTTGCAGGGTGAAAGAGCTCCCCCAGCAGGCAGTTATCGGACTATCCCCCTGACGTACCAGTGTCTGCTTTTTGAGCTGGGGTGCTTCGCCATCAAAGACGAATACTGGCCGTATCCGGAAAAACAGGAGCTTGCAGAGCCGGTTGAAGAGGGTGAGGAGGTGGGCGTTCTGCACTGCATTCCCATCGCGGTCCCGCAGGCCCTTCACAGCCTGGTTCAGCCAGATGCTGATGTCTGAGCGCAGTGTTGAGGAACCCTGACCTTCCTGGCTTCCAGCACGTCAAATGAGCAGTCAATTCCAAAACAGTACCTTTACACCAGGTCACAGAATGAAACTGTTCGGATTTGAATAAAGTGGATGTTGGACTTGTGGTATTTTCAAAGTGCTAATATAGAAAATAAAACTAAGTAGCAAAATAAAACAATGCATTGTCTTGTGCTCATTATGGGATTTGGGGCAACAGTACTGGGCAGTGTCCCTAGACTCCATGGATGAAACAATGAAAATGTGTTTTGGAAAACGTGAGGTTTAACAAGAGGTACAGAACGTATCCTGTAATTATTTTTACACCCCCCAAAAAACCTTCATACAGTGTGAAGGTGTTTCTTAAAAAATGTTTATGCAGGGTGTACAGGGTTAGTTCAGTTCAGTTTATTTGTCATATGCACAAGTGCAATGAAATGCAGGGTTAATGTAAGAAAAAAAAGGGTTTGTGCATGAAGGATACCGACAGCAAGGATTTTCCCCTCCAAAGTCTCAGGATTGATAGGTTTCCCAGTGCACTCCAGCAGCTTCCACAAACCCTGTACTCCCATTGTGCTTCACACCTGTTATTCCTGAGAAACAACACAGAAACAACATGATCTAAGTAGAAGAGGAAGCTGTACAAGTTTAGAACATAGATCCAGAGCGATTCATAAACGACTTTGATATAGCTTGACAAACATTAAGGTTTAAGAGGTCTTACGGTCTCAGTTTCCCCTGTTTATTACAACAGATCTCAAATGCTGCCTGTGGTTAAACAGTGAGCTGTTTATTCAAGCTAAGCAAGTAAACTGTGGATAAAATGCACATAATATCTTACCTGATAAAATGAGCAATAGCCACCTTGCTATTATTTTCACATCCAGTCCACGTCTATAATATAAAACAATGTAGCAACCGATGGCCTCATTCGACAACTCCTATTTATTCAGATCTCCTTGTGTAACGATATATTCGTCCCCACTCAACCTTTTCTTCTCACACAATTGTTCCACCCGGGGTTTTGCACCCATTTCCTGCAAAACTGGCCTTTTGTAACCTAAGGCCATAATCCGGGCGAGTTATAATTTTGAAAAAAAAAAATATAAGCACGAACGCACACACCTAGGCAACCACTCTCTTTACTTAAAAAGATAATAAATCTACTTCTACTTGTTTGTCGTGTAGCACAGCCTTCATTTTTTGTGTACGTCTCCCCCGATAGGCTCAACAGTACTACAGCGTCACTCGCCATATTGAATTACTCATCCAATCGAAACTGAGAAACCACCATCGCGTCATGGGTGTTTCCGGTGACATAGTATGTATTGTCGTTTCTGATTGGACGATCTCGGCCGGGGGGATTTCCTTTTCTGGATGCCAGGGTTTGTGTTCCACGACACGCGAAAAATGGCCGACGTGTCCGAGTGAGAGTTTGGTGGGTACGGTCATTCAGTTTCCATATGGACAGTGTTATTTCTGATTCCTGTGTTGTTTGTTTATATGCAGTGTTGCGAAGAGACTAGTAAATTTCAAGTAAACAGATGTACGGTATCAGCTTGTTTTATGTCTTCGAAAGAGAAGGGATTGTTTTGTTGTAGTTTTCGCCTTTGTGGGTCTGTTAGTTTGTTAAACAAATATACATCTTTCCTTTTTATACATGTGTTTCTGTGAGTCTTATTCCATACTTGTGTTTTTTCTAAAACGTTTATTCTCTCTTATAAGTGGGAATATTTGTAAGTAGCGAAGCGCACATCTCTCAATTAAGATAAAAAAGCCCTGGTTAGACACAGTTGGGTGTTGAAGATATATTGGTTTGGATTAATTTGGAGAACCTATATATTTATATATTTTTTGGTTATATAGTTTTTTTCGTTTATTTTATAGAAATAAACGTTTACGAGCAATGATTGATGTCTGATTTTTAAATTTTAATGTTTGTCTAAATAAACTGGTGGTTTTCTCCGTATGTTTGTCTTCGAATTTGTTTACAGAGGCTTTAGATATCTTGATTTGTTTGTGCAGTGTCGCAATGCTTTAAGTATATCAGTGGAGTTGTAATCTTAAAGCCCTGCTCATTTTTTCGACTCGTGCAACCTATCTGGAGGTAGGAACTGGAAATAGTTGCAAAGTTACACTGCTACGTTCAGGCCTGAACCTGACCCTATTATTGCCACTATTCCCAGCTTTCTGGGCGGTACAATTGACATTAGATTGTCTTTAATTGGTGGTGGTGGTGGAGGGGATCCCCATTACCTGTAAAGCGCTTTGAGTGAAGTGTCCAGAAAAGCGCTATATAAGTGTAAGCAATTATTATAATTTAACAATTTGCCCTTTCCATTCACTTTCTTTAAAATGCTGTACACAAATATGTCAAATTTGTTATTCACAGATCCAGAATTCCTGCCTTACTAATCATTAAAGAAAAATCTAGCCTTTTTTTGTGGTATGCTGTAAACGATTAACACATGATGTTAAATCATCTCCTCTTCTGCTAAACTGAGTTCATTTGAATCGGTATTGGTGCAGTTGAACCTCTCTGTGCTGAAACAAAATGTTATAAAGCAAACGAAATTGCAGATGGAAATTACTGGGAATCTAGAGAGCTGATGTGGTGTCCTGATGCATTTGATCTTGTAGTTTTATATTGTTCTTAGTTATACTCATCTGCTGTTTTGTACTTTGCAGGATTGAAGGTGAAAGCAGGGTAGCAGCCTCCTATCTTTAGTACCCAGTATGACAACAGTCATGGTGGTAAAAGGTGGGTAATTTTCTTTAGTCACGTTTCTCGTAAGTCATCCAAACCCCCTTTGTTGTTTTTCATGGGTTACTCTGTGAATTGTTTTTAAAAACCTAAACGTCTAATAATGAATTGATTCTCATCATTTGTTTGATGATATTCCACACTCTTTACTATGGCGTGACAGTCCTGCTTGATAGAATAACATACGAACATATGCTGCTTTCTGTGGAATGCATGTTTCTGTGCTGGTATCATTTTATATTGCATGTTGTATACACATCACCCACGCGAGCGGTAGAGTTGGCAGTCAGTGTGTTTCATTCCACACCAGCAGCGGACACATTCCGGCTTCCCGAGACGACATAAACCCTAAACTGAGTTGCCGGATGGCATCCTTATTCCCTACAGCTCCGGCTGCGGTGCCTGTCCGTGGGCCCGGGGATGGCATGGAAACAGATGAGCCTCCGGCCGCCCCGGAGATCAACACGGAGCTGTCTGCCAAAATCAGCTCTCTGCAGCTCAGCCCGCGCAGCAAGTCCACCCCGCCACACAGCCCCGGCGTGCTTCACCTCGGCAAGGTCAACTGGGAGTCCTGCGCCGAGCTGGAGGCTGTCCGCATCGTGGTGCCCAGAGCGGCCATCTCCCACTGCGTGCCCGGCAAGGCCTCCAAGCTGGTGGAGTCGGGTGCCGGCAGCCTGAAGGGGGAGCCGCTGCTCCAGCCTGAAGCCTCCGTGGAGCCGCGGAAGGAGGCCCAGGACTGGAGAGCTGCCCTGGACAAGCTGCAGAACTCGGAGAGGAGGCTGCTGCAGGACAAGGAGGGCCTTTCAAACCAGCTGAGGGTTCAGACGGAGGTGAGAGCCCCGGAGAACTAGATTCAGAGAATTGGTGGGTATAGGTAGGGCAGCAGCACTTCCGACGTGAACTACACTTCCCATGTAACCTCTGGGCGTCTTCCTGTGGTGCTTCTGTGTCATGAGATGCATGATAGCTGCCTGTCTGCAGTGATGTTGTGCAGGTGTTGCCCAGGCCTCATGGTGGTAGTCCGATGCAGTGTCCACACACTCAGAATGAGTCCTTGCAGGATTAAATGGTTTTTCTGACAAGAAGACAAAAATACAATGAATGGGTTTCTGGAGGATTCCTTATGGTGGCACACTTCCGCAAGTTGTAACGTCCATCCCACGCGAGGAGGTTAGTGCGTAGGCGGCTCCCAGCTCCTGTGCCACACGCCCTCTTGTCATCTGGTCACGCAAGCACAGAGTGAGGAATGGCCATGTGCTGCAGGTGAACCGGGAGCTGAAGAAGCTGCTGGTGGCCTCGGTGGGAGATGATCTGCAGTACCAGTTTGAGCGTCTGGCCCGGGAGAAGAACCATCTCATCCTGGAGAACGAGGCTCTGGGGCGAAACCTCTCCCAGACCGCGGAGCAGCTGGAGCGGATGACCATACAGTGTGACGTCTGGAGGAGCAAGTTCCTTGCTAGCAGGTTGGTCCTAGTGTTCAATTCCAAGGCCCGTGTGTGATGAAGCTCTTTGTGGATAGTTTGGATCTTCTCTTTACTCCTTCAGATTGTTTTCTTAAATTAACGTCTCATTATTTTGTGATTAACGTGCTAATTTAAAGGTTAACTTCATTTGAATAATTAATCTTCCATGTTTTGAAACAGACAATAGCACATAGATTGACCTTCATCAGAAAAAACAGCAAAGATTTGCTTGACATGCTCTTTTTGTTTGCACTACAGGTAGGGATGAATAAGGAAATCTAAAACCTTGAAACAATGGTCAACATTGTGGAGTTCAGGACCTTGATATAATTGGCTTGTTTTTTTTTTCTTGCAGTTATTTTTAAAGGTTGTAAAATGTATAACTTAAGAGAGGTTACGAACAAGAGGATATCATTTTATGGCTCATTGCATACTTAGTAGTTAACATTTGCTTAAATAAGTACCTCCTGTTTAAACACTTCCACAAAGTTTTCTTTTGTTTTCTGTGTCTGTCTGCTGGGTCTGATGGAGCTCAGTGGGATCACTTTGTCAGTGCCTAGGTGGATATTGAATAATTAGCTTGTCAGTGTAGAATGTACAGTACTTTTAACCCTAGAATTGTATTGTCTTCTCTGGACTTATTCTAGTGGTTACAATGTGGTGACCATAATGTGTGTACATTTTTATTTGTGGATTTTCAGAGTATTGTGTGGTTTGCATATTCTAGTATGAATTTCTATTTTTTTAACAATTATTTACTTGGATTAAAAAAAGGTTAAATTATTTGGCTTTTTAACCGTTCTAGCATTTCTTACGTAAAATGCAATTGCTTTTTATCTAGTGTTCCCAAACACCTGGAAAAGAGGCTACTGTCAGAGTAGGAAATTCTCTTGATAAGTTGTTACCTGAAGCATTTTGGTGTGCAGTAGTGACTTGGAATCTGAAAGGGTTACAGACTTCAGGAAGGGATGTGAGTGAAGGTGATGATGTCTTGACACTGCCTGAGCTGAGCGTGGCCTGTGTGGTTTGTTCTTCAGAGTGATGGCAGACGAGCTGACCAATACCAGGGCAGCTCTGCAACGTCAGATCAGGGAAGCGCAGGGTGCCATTCAGGACCTCCTCGGTGAGAGGGAGGAGTTCTCTCGGGACATGCTGCAGACTCACAGGTAACGCCAGCACCTAATACTCAGCATAGCATTTACTAGTATACCACACCCCCTCTGATTTAGTGGTGGTGGTCACCTGGGCTATACCCTGAGCAGATGGGAGGGTTGTCCTTAAGTAAGGACATTCATGTCTATGGGTGTCTCACACAAGTTCATTGAGATGTTCAAGTCTAAAAAGCTAAAAAAGGAATATTGATATGTTTTCATTGGCTTTTTGCCAATTTTTTAAAAAAATTAGGTTGTTATTTTGCCAGCGTAGGTAGAATGTGATCAGTATAAAATCACAGAAATGGTCGTTTTGTCTAATAGCCTTTCCTTGCATGTTTTGCTGATCAAATTGTCTCCATTAGAAATTTGTCCAAATATTCTTTGGCTTCTAGTTCTTTTTCCAGCCCTTAAAAATGTTTTGTACTACACATTGTAGGGTCCTTTTTTATCTTTCACTGTATGTAGTTATCTAATTGCTGTGCTGAAATTGCCAGGTCTCTGGAGCAGCTCCTGGTTTCCCTGCAGTGGGGCAGACAGCAGACTTATTACCCAAGCGCACAGCCCCTCAGCACCGGAGAGCTGGCAGCAGCTAACCACAAGCTAGCTAAGGCTGTCAACTCCCACCTTCTGGGAAATGTAGGTACCAGCAATATGCAGAAGAGCTCTCAAGCTGCAGACATTTGTCACACTCCAGCTGAAAAAATGGCAGAAAAGGTAGGTTGCTTTTCATGATGTAAACTACATTTTTATTTCTGGTTGAGATTTATTCATGGAATGTAACACAAAAAGCAGGAGTATGTGGAAATCACAGAATCCTTAACTGTTTAAGCAGCGTTGCAATATCGAAAAAATCTTACTAACACACTGGTCTTTTTCAAACAATTTTAATGCTGTGGAGTCTGGATTCCTCGTTCATAAGTTATAGACTTTACACCTGGATATATATTTTTGTTGTGTTTAATGAAAGTATAAGCCCAAGATACTAATTCAGTGGAACCAGTGACTTGGCATCTTGGTTGTTTTTCTGTAGAATGATTTTTAAGGATTTATATTTAAGGTGGTATATTTGGGATGTATTTTAATGTCCGCAAAACTTTTTTTTCTGTTCAGGTACTGAGACATTTGGATCCCATTTCATGTCCTGAAGATACCTGCAGTAGTAAATCAGTTCCTGAAACTTCGCCCACGTCTTTCCTCTCTAACAAGAAAAGTATTGGAAGGTTTCATCCGTACACCCGCTATGAGAACATCACCTTCAACTGTTGCAATCGCTGCAGCGGCGAGCTTATAGTGCTCTGAAGTGGAGATTATTTGTGTGTGCACTTTGACGATACCGATCAGTACACTTCTAAAGAGGGCACACAATAGCATAATTGCCAAGATCTGAAATATGTATTGTAAATGCCTTCACCAGAAAATTCAAGGGTCGAGATAATAAAATTCAAGGTAATAGGAGATGAATAATGCATTAAAGCCGCTGTGTTTTTTTTATTCTCTGAAATAATTTTTTTAAAGCTATTTTCCATCCATCCACTGTCCGTGGATTGCTACTTCTAGACTAGGGTTGTGGCTAACATGGAACGGCATTATTAGTGTGGATACCTCAGTGCTTTTGGATTCATGGTTCTGTTCTGGATTAGCGTACCTTCTGTATAGCAATCCAGAGATACACTTGCACAGGCTCCTTGGCATCTCCTGTGCACGTGTATGATGACAGGCTGGGGTGTAGTCCTGTCTCGTACCCTGGGCCTGCCAGGTTGGGCTTCTCTTTACCGCTACTCATCAGTAATGAATGCAGTTAACAGAAACCGGATGGATATGTAATTATTTCTGAGATTGGGTTAGAAAGAACTGTGCTACATGTCTTGTTGAAAATTTGTACAGCAAATTCAGTTTCGTCTTGGTGTGCTTTGAAATTATGGGTAGTTCAGTAACATGAGTGTATTTGATGTTTTCAGGCTGTTCCTACAACCACAGCGCCAGTGTAATATTCTTTCAACTGTAATGACTGCAGAAACATTTTCAGCTATTCGGTCTTTGCCTGTCTTTAGATTGTTTTTGTTTTCAGTTTAGAAAAAAGGTGGAGTTTTCCATCTGCATTAGACAGTGTTGGCAATATTTCCAATAACTCAAAGGTTTATAATGGTCTTAATTTCAAAAAGGCTTAAATATGGGTTTCAGAATTGGAGGGGTTTTGAGTACTTTTTGGGTTAAATTCCAAATTCTGCATAATGTAAGTGAAATAATGAGGTTACAGTCATGCTAGTTGTGGAAACTTGCTTTTCTGTCAAGTTTTGAAAGTGATGTGGACTTTTTTGGGGACAGAAAAGAAAAAGTAACATCAATTTGACAAAAGATTATCGGAACAATTTAAGGAGTGCGGTATTAAGCACAGGTATACTTTGAAGAGAGGTCTTTTTTTCATCTGTTACAAATAAGTGTTAAGTGCAATAAATTAAGAATTGTTTTACTGTTTCCACCACTATGGCAGCATAGTGTTAACTTATCAGTGTGGTCATCACACTGTGACAGTACTGTAATATCAGTGTGTGAGGAATTGGGGTTTAATGTAATTTATTTTTTTAGAATAAAAAGATTGTGTATACAACTTTTATAACTCTGGGAAGCTACACAATAAACACTTGTCTGATAAAAGATGGCACTTTCTTTTTTTCACCACAATCTGTTTTGTTTACAGATTTGTTTGCAGAGCTAATCACAGGTTACGTAAACGGCTAACCTTGAGTGTATTGAATGTGAAACTAATAACGTAACGATAACGTATTTTGGCAACAATGTTTACCACCTTCTAGCCTGCTCTCTGATCTAGACTGATCTCCTCAGATCTTGGAAGCTAAGCAAGACTGAGGCTGATCATTACCGTGAAGTTCTCCCATCTTCGTAAACCTTATTGTTGCAGAAAGAGGTGTTAATGGAACAACAGGTGGCAGTCTTTCCTCTGGCCCAGAATATCTAAAGCCCCAGTGTGGTGGCCAGGAACTCTGCTGTGCTTTAGAGGACACATTAAATTGAGCTCCTGCCTACTTGGCCATTTAAAAATCCCAAACCACTCTTTGCAAAAATGGTGTTAACAATGGTTTTCCTGCTAGATTTGACTCTGGTCTTGCATGGTGTGTCCTACCTAATGTTTCTCCTTGATTCTATGGAACAAAAAATTCCACGTTTCTTCATATTATCTAACGTGTAATGTGGCTTCAGGTAATATGGAGGTCATACATCTCCCAGGTAAGTGATTCACTTTAGCCAGCAGCCATATCACCCTGCAACTCACAACTGGCAACCCACAGAAGCTAAGCAGGTGTGAGCCTGGTCAGTACCTGGATGGGAGACCTCCTGGGAAAAACTAAGGTTGCTGCTGGAAGAGGGGTTAGTGGGGCCAGCAGGGGGCGCTCACCCTGCGGTCCATGTGGGTCTAATGCCCCAGTGTAGTGACGGGGACACTATACTGTAAACAGGCGCTGTCCTTCGGATGAGACGTAAAACCGAGGTCCTGACTCTCTGTGGTCATTAAAAATCCCAGGGTGTTTCTCGAAAAGAGTAGGGGTGTAACCCCGGCATCCTGGCCAAATTTCCCCATCGGCTGTTATCAATCATGGCCTCCTAACAATCCCCCTCTGTGAATTGGCTTCATTACTCTGCTCTCCTCCCCACTGATAGCTGATGTGTGGTGAGCGTTCTGGCGCACTATGGCTGCCGTCGCATCATCCAGGTGGATGCTGCACATTGGTGGTGGTGGAGGGGATCCCCATTACCTGTAAAGCGCTTTGAGTGGAGTGTCCAGAAAAAGCGCTATATAATTGTAAGCAATTATTATTATTATTATTATTTAGTAGTAGGTGAAGTGGGTCCCATCATACTTGCTAAGAAAAGTAGAAGTGGGGAAGAGTAGAAGTGTGATGAGAGGATTAATAAAGGATGCGACTTGGAAGCATGCTGAATTGTTTTTAATCTTTAAATGTTAAAGTCCCCTTTTTTTGGTCACACTGCTGCTGCTGTAAGAACAAGTTTGAAATGTAATGTATGCTTGGCTTTAATACAAACTTATTTTATTCCTAGGAAAACTCCACTTCTAATGAGTCGGCAATGCCCCTTTAATATGAAAAGGTAAATGCCTTTTTTAACATCTAGATGTTTCAGCATCAAAATATATCAAAATTAAGAAATACAATACACTGCAATAATTACATAAGTACTGCTGCTCATTACATTATTGTACTATATAAAATACATTTTCATGTATCTTTTTTAGCTTCTGTGCAACTTCTGTCCACAGGAATGTCTTGATGGGGTAAAAAAAAAAGTATGAAGGTCAGACTATTTGCTAAGTATTGTAAAATGTCACTTCATTCTTCACCTAATCCACTCTTCTGGATGCTCGAATGATCAGGATTTGTCCAATGATCCAAATTGATCATCATAATACCCTCAGCTTTAGTCGATTAATTTTTTTTTTTCAATCCTGGACGAAAACAAAATATAGGGGCCAGCGGGAGAGGATGTCATGTAGCTCCTCACCTTCGTCCTCCGCCTCCGTCGTCCGGCACCAGGCGTGAGCCTTCCGGCTGGGTGCGGGCAGCCCGCGGGAGCAGGTCAGAAGCGATAGCCGTAGTTGTCTATGAAGCGGGAGGACTTGGCCTCGCTGATTGTGCACAGCAGGTCCTGCTTGCGCTGAGCTCGCCTGGCCTCCATCACCAGCCGGCGCGAGCGTTCCCTGGCAGCCAGCCTCTCTGTGCGCTTCTCCGCCCTCTTCCTCTTCAGCCACCTGTCCCAGAATTAAAAAGGGAGATAGTCTGGGCCCACGCTAATCCACAAAAAAAACAAGCCAGACCACCGAGTGGCATATTCCGTTTGTGAATGAATTATATCCATTATATTGTAAAGGCAGCATGTTGTTTGCATATTAATGAGGCAGGTCATGCTCTTAAATAGCAGTCTTTATAAATATCTTAAGCAGCACAGTTCCTGATTCTGTTAAATTAATCCTGGGTTGGATTTTTGGGGAAATAGGTAAGGCTTTGAGATCCAATATACTACATACTGTGATCATCTATACAATAGGATTCCCTGACAGACTGTTCAAAAGCTCACGAAAAGAAAGAAATGTTAAAATATTCTGTCCTTATGGTTTCCTCACAGGCTTCATCTGGAAATTCTCTAGAAAATTTAACGGTGCAAATTGCTACTCTGTGAGTGGATTATGCAGCCATTTGTGAGGTGGTGCGTGCATGTATGAGCTTATCGTCCTAGGTAAATTGTACGGTTTAATGGTGAAATAGGATAAACCAGGCATATATATCAGACTGCATTCACTGGCAGCATAAACTGGGTTTATGACAGACTGGGTTCATGACAAGGGAGTAAAATAAAAGCTGAAGCTGAACTAAATAATTCATTAGGAACTAGAATTAAGTGTGACAGGAGGCCCAGTGCCTCATAGCTGCTACAGTACTTGGGGAATCATGTTTCAAAAGAGATCTTACAGTTTAAAGGCTCTTTCACACTCCTCCCTGTCATGTATATAGTAGGTGCTTTCTTCTTCCAGTCTTTTCATTTCTTCCATCTGCCTCTCTCTCAACTGCTGCACATGCTTCCTCTTCAGCCACAGCTTGAACGCCTCCTGAGGATCAGGGTGTTCTGGCTGTGGAGTGAAACGAAATACAGCCATTAGAGCTCGGAGCTCCATTTTTATTTTTGTTTCTGGTTGCTGAAATTTCCAGTGGCCAATCAGGTTAGAACCTGATTTGGTTATCCTACTAATTAAATTGGGAAGGCTTTAAATGACTTGTAGAAAATGCTATTCAAAGGATGTGTGAGGCACCTGATGATAACAATTATTATTTACGTAACATAAAAGGAAGCTGATGGCTTCTTGGACAGTCCCTCCTTGTGTCGCAGACGAGCTCAGGAGTGAAAGACTTTCTTTGCCATCCCTCTTTCTCAGGGCAGAGACCAGCTGTGTTACCCCACATCTTTCATTTTTCTTTTTTTTTTTCATTTCTGACACGACTGATGGAGGCAGCTGCAAAGGGCTCTTCATTCTGCCAGTCCCTTGTACTGAGCATAAGAGCCAAGTAGCCATTTCCAAAGAGGGGTAAGATTCAAAGATCAAACAATTCGATCAAATTCTACTCCATTCATGGGACATCATGAGGTCTTAATCAGGATATCGGAGTGTTCATCTTTGATGATTACTCTCCATATTATTGTGCTCTCATCATATGTGTCTCCTTCAATTGACAATTTCTCTTTGCTTCTAACAATAATAATACAGTTGGATTTCTGGGTGCTTTTTTGAAAAACTCAAAGAGTTTTGCAATTGCATACATAATATACAGCCAAAGCAGAATGATCGTTGTACCGGACCATTAAATTGCAAGGAGAGGATGAGAAAGTGAGACTTACACTAGACGATGAGCCGCATTTTACAAACTGTAAGTTAGACAGGATTAGAATGTTATTTAAAAACAAAAATTGGAATTAGTTTTAAATTGAAAACAAAACTCCACGTCCGGGTGAGATGATTGGATTTATTGTCCAAAAATGAATGAAATCTCCAGCTTGTAGTTGAATAATTCAGTAGCACTAATACACCAGCATTCCTCTCCCTTCACTAGTGAATGGAAATGTGCAGGTCTGAGAGGTTGCAGACAGGCCTCAGCAGTCTGACACCTTATACTCAAGAACAGAGGCGGTTTTGGGTTTCTTCGGGAGGCGTTTCAGTTTACCCTGTTGTTCATTCTTTCCATCTCTTTAGCCCTGACGATTCGCCTCTGCTCCTGGAGCTGCTCCTTCTTTTGCATCAGCCAGGCCCGGAAGGCCAACTCGTTCTCTTGCCTCTTCTGCTCCTCCTCCTCCCGTTTCTTGGCTTCCTCCTTAAAATAAGATCCAAAAGAAATAACCTCCCCCCCGCACCCGAAATTAGTGCCAATACCTCACAGTTAAAACAGCTCCGGGGGGAAAGCGACATAAACTCTCACTTCATGGTGGATGCAACAGTGTGGTCGGACTGCAAGAATCAATAGTTCAGCAATCAAGCATGGTGCCACATTGACTCAAGGGATCCCTATGATTATAGTGAACAATCTTTGGATTTCTCCTAGATCTACAGCTACGTCTGAACTCGTTCAGAACAGATTTCCATTGAAAATGAACAGAGGAAGAGGAAACCCAGGGAACCCAGGCTCCAGCTGACAATGCACGCAAACATCAGTATGAAGAACCTGACCAAGCGTGAGACAGAAGCGAGTGTAAGAGCCCCACCTCTCTCCTGAGCCTCTCCCTCCGCTGCTCAAGCTTCAGCCGCAGCTCCTTCTGTTCAGGAGAGAGGGTGTAGGTGGTGTGCCCGGGGGGGTTACTGGCGGACTGCGCCCTGCGGGTCGCCGTCCTCTTCCTCGTCCTCCCCTGCGAGTGGCCGGCGGAGTTGGGGCGGGCCTTGGGGACGGGGGGGGGCCTGGGGACGTGGCCGGCTTCGGGGGAGGAGCCGCCGGCCCAGCCGTGAGCGGGGCAGGGCTCGCCGTGGCCCGAGGGGGGCCGGGGGGACGTCTGCCAGCCCCCGTCGGGCTCCCCGCTCGCACACGGCAGCGGGGGCAGCAGGCCCTGGCTCTCGACCTCGCGCAGGCTCACCAGGTCGAACTTCCCGTCCTTTTCCACCAGCACCTTGCCCTCCCGGGGGCTGCCCCGGGCCCCGCCTATCTTCTCCGAGATCTGCAGCCTGGACATCGGCCCCGAGACGTCTCCCTCCCCGTCTCTGCCTGCCTCGTAATCGGCAGGCGGGACCACGAGGTCCACCAGCTTGTCTTTGAACTTGAGCCTGCGCTCCCGGGTCTCGTCCGCGGGCTCCTCGTCCTCCAGCTGCCGGTTGGCCTGCTGGATCTTCTCCATGATGTACTTCTTGGCCTCTTCGTCCAGCTCGTCCTCGTCCACTCCTTCTTCCGGCCTGAGCCGCTGGTGGGAGCCCTCGCTGTCTGTGTCTGACAAGCCTTCTGAGGGCTCCGCCGGAGAAGGTGGGCTTCCTCCTCCACCGAGGTCACCGTTTCCATCCGCAGCCCCTCCGGGGTCGGGTTCTGCAGGATTTAGACTTTTGATTTCCAGCAACTCTCCCCTTGTTTTCTCCTCTTCTTCTTCCAGTTCTTTGTCAATTTGTGATTCAATGTCATTCTCACCTTCTGGGTCCTGACAAAAGCAGGAAAAGACGATTTAGAAATGACTGACAGTAGATAAAAATGACTTTCTGTGTTCTAATTCCCTTTCATTCTTTTGTGTTGCACACTTAAATATGTCTATTGCAGGGTCAATGTAAGGGTGCAGGACAGAAAAAACAGAAAACACAACTCATTTATGAAGCAGTGAGGCTTCTGTGGCGGAAAGCTGTATTTCAGTCACGGCTTTTGAAACATTTGATCTGATTTTATGACAAAAAACACCATATCAACCATCCAGAACTACTGACCGCCTTTGCTTCAATACAGTACATTTCTGGTGACACGAGAAGCAATAAAATACAGAAAAGCTTTTGTAGCTTTAATATTACTCTGTGAGCAAGTCAGCCACCTCATTTTCACTTTTCCCTTCTTCGTTAATCAGCCAGTCAAGGTCTTTCTCAAAGTCGTCTTCATATTCTTCCTGAGTTCTGTTACCAAATTCGTCCTTTTCATTCATTCTTCTAATCAAGGAAATTTCCTTCAATGGGAAAGAAGAAGAAAAATATATTAGGCTCTAAAAATCAGGGATGCAGAATTCCGTAGTCATAGTGCAAGCAGGTCCAAGGAGTATCTAACATGACAGAACGTGTTTCAGATTAGCGCAGATGTTAGAAATATCCCTGTCTTCTGTAGCTGCAAAATCCCTTTTATTCCTTTATGAAATATATGTGCATTATGATTCCCAACGCGTACAAGCTCTTTAGTACAGATCTACTACATTCCATATCCAAACATCTTCTCTTAAACAGAATGAAATGTGACTGTGAATATTAATAATCAAGTTTAGGAAATGGGGCCTTAACTGAATATATACAGTATGTTCTTTTCAAAGTGAGCTGTAATGATTTTTTATTTTTTAAATAAATTATTAACATCCCAGCACATTAAGAATAAAATAAGTTTAGGTCCACCTACTGTTAAATGATTAATTCTAACTTTAAAATAAGTAAAAGTAAGTACATTTAATAAATAAAATGTAGGAAATTATCTGTTTTGTCATAAACCATAATTTATACAAATTCAGTATTATTTTGAATAACCTATCTGACAAAATAGTTTTCAAATAGCAAATTTTAACATCAGTCATTCAGTATAATCAAGACATCAAATCTTGTATTACTTATTTTTTTATCTGGCTTATATTTAATGATTGTTCAGAAATACAGTTCATTAATACAAAAGAACTCCTGTGAAAGACTCCATATCTAACCTCATGTGATCACTTAATCATCTTACATGTCAGGTTAATCACAGGCAGCACTAAGTATCCCGGTACTTCCTGCCTTGATAGTAAATTTCCAAATGCTAATAGTCACAACCCTTTCAGAAAAGCACACAAGCAACAGTTTAACTAGGATGCACATATACTATAAGTGAATCAAGCAAAACTGCTTGTTCATTGCAAAAAAACTATAAAAAATAGTCCACTCTTCTTCCATACTCACAGCAGAAGGAAAACTACAAGGAAATAAAAAAGAAGAAATATTACAAACAAGAAGAGGTCACTTTATCTGTTTAACCTGGTATTTTCATATAATCACCCATTTTCTGATAAAAGCCAGTGTATTGGCTTAGAGGGTATTAGCTCAGTTTATTCATCAGGCGTGAGCTTTATGAGACTGTGGATGTTCATTAGAACATGAGAATAAGAGGCAGGTTTTTACAAAACGTTTTGTAAAAACTGTTGCTGTGTAGCTTGTTCCATATTCTCACAGAACGTTTTGTAAAAAACTGCCTCTTGTTCTCATGGTCTAATGAACATCCACAGAGTCTCATAAAGCTCATGCCTGATGAATAAACTGAGCTAATTCAGCTGTAAGAGGAGATAAAAACAGAAACAGAAATGTTGCCACAACTACCTTCATTAGAGAGCACCCTGTTGGAGGAACAAGTGTATGCCTGAAGGTCACACCTTGATTAGTGCAAGAATATCTTCAAGCCACAAAGGACGTCTGATCACCAGAGACCTGGATGTATGTGTATTGTGTGAATATTGTTTTGTTATTCTGAGTAACACTCTTGTGGCCAACATGATGAATCATGCTATCAGCAAACAACACTAGTATCAACAGCAACAAAGTTGCAAAGTTTTCTACATCCATTATCTATTATATGCTATCTATAGGCTACACAGTACCTTACACCTGGAAATGAAAGACTTAAATTAGAACCTAGGCAAATCAGAATATAGAGAACTTGAAGTGTGATCACACTTCACTTGGACTATAATACCTTGTTTCCACTAGTCCTGCTGGCTTTACTGTCTCAGCAGCAGGAACTTTAATATTCACTTGTGTGTCCTTCAATATTTCAGCATTTTGCAGCGCCTGTTTACGTGTCATTTAGGGTTAGTAGTTCATGCTGAGTAAGTTACTGTATCCTAAGATTGATGTCAGAATAAATCTGAGATTTTAAAAAATATCGCAGGCTAATTACCAAGGCTCCCTTTAAAAGTAAAACCAAGCACTATAGCAACAGGTAATTAACATCCAACCTTGGATGTACAGTATTTAAACTTGGTTGCTGGGTGCATTAAAACTTTAATTTGCTTGCTCACATAATCAGTGTGCATGAGATGTGCACAGACTCTTCAGACGAGCGAGCCTTTGCCACCTGACATTTGACTGCTTTTTACAAACAAGCCTGTTGCTGAGGCCTGATGGCAAACACCAAACAATACAGTGGCCTATGAATGCATGTCTGCACTTGTACTGTTACTTTTCATTTGTGCAGTTCCTAGATACGCCCAGTACTAGGAACTGCTGAAACACATTGCCTCGAACAGTTTTAACGTTATGTCAACACATTTCCAAAATGTATTGGTCACTGGCAGTGTTTTAAAAACATGATACATTTCTTTATCAAAGGTTAACACTGAGGCTGGGTTATTAGGAACTGGAAGAAAATGGATGCACTTTCCCCAATTGGAATAACAGAAACTTAAAATATGATACCACACTGTAAACTTGATATCTCAGAAGAGACATTACAGAAAGAAAGTTTCTCACAGGTTTTACCAAAGAGCACAGTCACAGACAATACAGTTTCAGTCTCAAGCTTTAAAAGAAATAATGCTGAGAAGTCATACTACAAACTTAAGCTGTTTTGCATATAATATGATAAAGCCCAAAAAAACATGGAGTCAAAAGAGTGTTTGTTGTTACACTTTACTTTTAATGGGGCTTACTGTTTGCAACCAGCTGATATAAAACAGGATGTCATAAGGGATTCTCTTAATCATCCTTCTGATTCTAAAAAAGAATGCAGCACAACCAAAACATCATCACACCTTTGAATTGGGGGAAAAAAAAAGATGTCGAAAAGCTGCTCAATAAAATGTCACACAGATACACAAAATGACAGTCACCTCTGGGTGGCAGAAGAGAATTCAAAGGCAAAATAAACACCATTAAAGAATAAAAGAAAAAAATGAAAAGTGAAATGTTGATCCTATATTGTGGCTTAAGTTACAGATATTCCATTTTCAGATGTATAATATCCCCTTCTCTTGTACTCTATGAGGTGAGGAATAATGCTTTCACTGCTTTCCAAATTCGCCCATCCATTACCACTGAGCAGGTTCGCTGGGGAGTGCTGAGGGCCACTACACTGTAATTCTGCACAGTTCAATGCTACAGCCACCAAACTAAGGGCTGGGAGATATGACATGTCTCTTCTATGACAATAGAAACCTAAGTCTCTAATCTGTGTTCCAGGTCCTTACAAATGCCACTCCGTGTACTGAATTAAGACTGTGTAGGTGCCTTTGACATGTGAATTAGTGCCAAAACATTATTGTTGACTGTCTGGCAGACCACGAGTAGCTTTACTTCTATTTTCCTGAAGAAAAAAAAAAGCATTAGGGATAAGAGCTTCCTTAAAAACAATAAATAACTATCTAGCTAATATCAGTGGCCATACTTTACTCTACTTTGCATCAAATGCAAGATGCATTGAATGTTAGAGGGAAAAGACCGACGGCATTTGCTTCAATACCTACACAGATTCATTAACACAAAACATACAACTGCAAGTCGACTAAATATAACGTCTGGACGCTGTTATATGAATAAAGTTTCAACCTTATCAGCGCAAAGCGTTATCCTAAGTATGCAATCTACGAAGAAATAAAAGGTATGTTCAGATCACGTCGCTGACAGGACGCATTAAACCACGAAAAAAAAAACCCATAAAACTTAAAAGCTTAAAGGTAAAAGCATTACATATCCGATACAGAGTAATTAACAATTTTGTGTGACCTGGTAAACTACCAAAAGTCTTTGGGCAGTCGTAGCTCAGAAGGGGACTAAAACACTAATCTCCATCCATACCCCACAACGACACACAGATCTTTAAATCAACTTGTACAGTACAGTATATACAGTAGCATCTCACCAGGTTTCTTGTTTTGGGGTTTCAAGTCGGGTTTTTTTTTTCTTCCAGTGAAGTTCAGGGTATAAATGCATCTAGAATTACGTACGGTTTGTTTCCTGTCTCTTCCATCAGGTGGCCTGTGTGTGATCCGATATACTGTCCTGTCTAATCTCTGCTTGCTCGCTCGCTGTGACACCAGGTCTTCCCCGCTGTTGTCATGGTGATTTAAACACGCGGGAGAGCGCACAGGCGCACTAGACGCCTCACAGAGCGGTGTCTATCAAAGCGACAAACCTGCCTAACACTGTAGTGCACCGGTTACTTTTATTTTAAGCACGAAGAGAAATGTATCTAAGCAGCGTTATTATTGTTTAAGCAAGTTACTGTAACTAGACTATGCTTGACGACAGTTTTATATTGTAATAAGTATTGTAATACTGTTGATGCAATCACATGGGTCTGTTTTTATTTCTATTTACTTCATACCTTATTTCATAAGACTGGAAAGGAACAGCTAAGGAATTATATTATTACACACTACGCCGACATTAAAGTGGGTGCATTAAAGGCAATGTAACACAGGCAACATTAATATTTTGGCATTAATTCGAATTTCGAAGTCACCTATACAGTCTTAAATGAGCCCACGGAGTAGTATTTGTAAAGACTGTCTTTGAGACTCTGTGGATGTTCATTACAACATGTGAATAAAAAGCAGTTCTTTACAAAAAGACTTGTGAGAATATGGAACAAGCTACACAGCTACAGTACTGTATGTCCTCTAAGCCAAAACACTGGCTTCTATCAGAAAATGGGTCATTGGTCATTGAAAGGATTAGCTACTAACTACCGATCAGGTTAAACAGATAAAGTGACCTCTTCGTGTTTGTAATATTTCTTATGTTTTTTATTTCCTTTGTGGTTTTCCTTCTGCTGTGACTATGGAAGAAGATTGGGCCATTTTTTATAGTTATTTTGCAATGAACAAGCAGTTTTGCTTGATTCACTTATAGTATATGTGCATCCTAGTTAAACTGTTGCTTGTGTGCTTTTCTGAAAGGGTTGTGACTATTAGCATTTGGAAATTTACTTTCAGGGCAGGAAGTTCTGGGATACTTAGTGCTGCCTGTGATTAACCTGACATGTAAGAGGATTGCGTCATCACATGAGGCTAAATATGGAGTCTTCCACAGGAGTTTTTTATTTTAATTTTAAATAATTAACCCTATTTCTGAACAATAAATAAATATAAGCCAGATAAAAAATAAGTAGTGCAAGATTTCATATGATGATCAAACTAAAAAACAGATGCTAAAATTTACCATTGGAGAGCTGTTTTGTTAAATATTTTATCAAAAACAATACTGAATTTGTATAAATTAAGTTTTATAACAATAAAGAGAAATTCCTACTTTTTTACTCAGGAATGTTCCTTATTTATTTTAAGGGTAGAATTAATAATTTTGTGGTAGGTGGACCTAAACTTATTTTATTCTAAATGTGCTAGAAATGTTAATAATTTATTAATAAAATAGAAAATCATTAGAGCGATTTGAAAAAAACCCACTGTATATATTGACTTAAGGGTAATTTCCTAAACTTGATTATTAATATTCACAGTCACATTTCATTCTGTTTAAGAGAAGATGTTTGGATATGGAATGTAGTAGATCTGTACTAAAGAGCTTGTACGCGTTGGAAATCATAATGCACATATATTTCATAAAGGAATAAAAGGGATTTTGCAGCTACAGAAGACAGGGATATTTCTAACATCTGCGCTAATCTGAAACACATTCTGTCATGTTAGATACTCCTTGGACCTGCTGGCAGAATTCTGCATCCCTGAGTTCTAGAGCCTAATATATTTTTTCTTCTTTTCACCTGAAATAAATTTCCTTGATTAGAAGAATGAATGAAAAGGATGAATTTGGTAACATAACGCAGGAAGAATATGAAGACGACTTTGAGAAAGACCTTGACTGGCTGATTAACGAAGAAGGGAAAAGTGAAAATTAGGTGGTTGACTTGCTCACAGAGTAATATTAAAGCTTAAAGAGACTTTCTGTGTTATTCTTGTAACGAACAGTTCTTTCCGGACTCTATGCGGACGACACAGTCCGACGAAGTGGGGAAACACTGGGGAAACGTCATGCAGGAATACGGGGCTGAAGACAGGGGGCGTGTCCAAGGTGCGCTGGTGCACGGGGGAGGCGTGGCCGAGGCGAACAATCCAAAAGAGAAGTCCTTAGGGAATATCCAAAAACACGAGATCCATCAAAACACGAAGTTAAAACCACGAAGGCCGGGTCGGAACCGGGGGACGGGGGACGGGGGACGGGACGCTTCCAGGTCCCGGACTCGCATGATACGGAAATCAGATGTAGAGCCCGGAAGAGCGTCAGCGCCTGGCTTTTAAGGTGGGCTGGGAATAGGGAGCAGGTGCATAGAATAAAGTCTTGAGTGATAGGGCTGGAGCACCCTTAAGGAAGGGGAACTAATATCGTGACAATTCTACAGTACATTCTGTCCTACACATCATGGAGAGTTTCCAGACGCGAAGGCCAGGAGATTCATGGCGACACTGAAAGAGAAAGCATAGTCCCGAGGAAAAGGAAAATGCAGAACAGGCAGCTTTAGTGGATTTTTAAGGGTTTCTCAGATAGTCTCATTGTCCACAGCATCAGAAATTCAACTTTCCAAAAGCCAGGCAACTCAGCAAAGCCCTCTTGCTCTCCTCAACACTAACCCTGTATTGAAATATTTTTTTGATTTTGACGTTCCTTGCAGATATCACTTTATATATGCGAACACTAATAGTCATTTTATACAGTAACTTTTATCATACATTATACATTATATCATACAGTATATTAATATACAACTGAGAGAAGACAGCATATCATTTTTTGAACTATGTTTCATTTGTGTTAGCTTTATTGCAGAAATGGCTCTATACGCTAATAAAGCATGTAGCATCTTTAAATAACAGGTCTTATAATTTGTGAGCTGCTTAGTTTTGTACCACTTGATGGAATCAACTTACAAAACGCTTGTGGGGTGGGTACTCTTAGAGAGCCAGGCGATTGTACTCCTGGTAAGAGCAGCAGCCCCCAGGAGCCTGTCCTGGGGCGTATGATACAAGGAGAGACCCCTGC